TCAAAGTTTGCTCTATCGACCATGCCGCACCAATCACTATGGTGGGCGTTTCATGGCTGATATACTTTTTTAAAAAGCCAGCCGTAATTAAATGTTTGCGGCCGTATTACATTATTGGCGTCGTCCGCCCGCGCAAAAACCCAGTTTCAAAAATCACGCTTGACAAGCGGAGAGAGAGAACTGCGAAAGTTCAAATCAAAAACACATGCCATTAAAGCCATCTCACCTAAAATTTAAATTTCTAAACTTTTTGGATACCTTGATTTAGATACCTTAAAGCAAAAGAATAAGAACGCAAAAATCGGTTAAAAAATTGCGCGTTCCGACGTGCTAGCAAAATTCACTATGCACGAACGCGTGTGCCGGCGAGCGACTTTGAGCTTTTCCGGCAGAAATGCCCTTGAAATGGGTCCTCAGATTCGTGTGAGGAGGGCTGGGAAAAGCGTTCACGCGTTTCGCCAGGTTGGTGTGAGGTGTCAACTCGTTGCCTTTTCCATTTTTTGCCGGGAGGTAGAGTCATTTTTGAGGGGCAACAGCTGGGCCCTGCCTGGACAGCCAAGGGGTTGAAAGGCCAGAAATTGGCCCTGGGGGTCAGGGAGAGAGAGAGAGAGAGAGAGAGAGAAAGAGAGCTGATTGATTCTCACAATTGTCAGGGACCCGATTTACCTGAGCCAAGCAACGGAACAACGATTGGATGGGGTCTGGCAATATATCACTTCGATAGCGCCAATTGCCGCTTGGCAAGTTCTTTGGTTGGTTAACGGGAGGGTGTAAGCTGGAGGTGTCACGTGGAAAAAGCAGGATCCGCTCAAAACGCGGCTTCATTGTTTCTTGAGGAGCAAAAACTCCAATTTCGATAGTATTTCCAAAATGGGCAGCTCATTTAGATTTCGACCTGCTTTTGCGTTTAAAAATACTAAAAATTCCGGAAAGCACCATGTAGTAGACTTTTCCACTATTAAGCGATGCCAAAAAGTTCTTTTACCTGTTTTCTGAGAATACCGAGGTCACGTTGCGACGCTGCGACCGCGCTGCGTTAAAATTTTGAAGCCAGGCGCAACGTGTAAAATTACTAAAGAATTACTGGCGTGCTTTAAAGGGCTAGTTCAGCCAGCCGAACCCGCTCTGCGTTTTTTTTGTCTGCGCTTCTCTCATTTCCCCGATCTCTAATAGCTGTCGTAATGGGGGACTGTTCGGGCGCACTGTGCCTACGTCCATAGTTTCCCAAGGTACCAGCCCAAGCGCTAGAAGTTGAACTAGCCCTTTAAGGCAAAAATGGTTAGAATCCAAAAACGTGTCGGCCCCTTGCGCGACACTACTATAGACCCTCAACGTGTACCTCTTCTTTATTATCTCCCCTAAAATGATTCAGTCAGTTTCACTATGTCACTTGGCGCAACAGGTAGCTGCCGATGCCTAGCCAAGCTCAAGTTGCCTTCCAAAATTCCGACTTCCTAGTTCCTTTAATCCAAAATTAGGTAAGCTGATAGACCATGAAAAATTTAGATCAAGCCTAGAAATTGTTAGTAATTTTCTAGAAATCCTCCATCGCAACAAACCAACCCCAAGGCACAAAACCTTCCGATAATCCGAGGATTTTCCAAAAATGAACTGCTCAAAAAGACGGGGCTGTCACCAGAATGATCGAACGATGATCGTTTCTGGGTATGTTGCGGATTTTCCAGAGCAGAGCAAGTTTTTCCAGGGCCTTGCTGCAAGGAGATCACCGCCTGGGGCCCTGGAACTTTGGTCCACGAGAAAGCGACGGGCATAAATCAGCCTAGGGGCGGTTGGTCGGCTTTTTCGCCAACCCCGATGGGCCATTATCGGGTCAAAACCAGCCTCTCCAGTGGGCCCTCGGAACAACAACAGGAAGGGTGCGAACACTGGTTTGCTTTGGACTTTACGGAATTAGACTAGGCTTGCTTAAGCTTAGGCTTAGGCTTAGGCTTAGGGTCAGTTTGGGTCAGGTTTACGCTTAGGCTTCGTTTAGGCTTAGACTTTGGGTCAGGTTAGGTTTGGCTTAGGCTTAGGCTGGGCGCAGGCGTAGGCTTAGGTTTAGGTTTAGGATCAGGCTCGGCTTAGCTTCGGCTTAGGCTTAGGTTTATGTTTGGGCTCATCAAAACTCTTCACGAAAAATGACGCAAGATCGCAAAGCCCTAAAAGCGGCACTTTTTGTCGATTCGATTACTAAACAGCTTAAATGCTGGTAAAAATGTCAAAATGCCCTTTTTCAAAGTTTTTCTCTTCAAAAATACTCGCTTCACATCTTCAAGCAAGAGAAGGTCAAAAGTTGCCTGGGCCCAAGGCTGCGTGGGAGAATTCCGTCTCGGAAATACCCCGTTCACGCGCTAAATCCGTTGGCCCATACTTCCGGTTCGAAAAAATGACTTCGCGTAAGGTTTTCAGCCCCGGCCAAAAAATTCTCGAATTTCTAAGGACCAAAACTTAGTTTTTGAAAACATTACGCTTTTCACTCCTTGATACACCAATTCTAAATTTAATTTGATACCCGGGATCGCCTAGGTTTAAACCAAAAGTTGGAAATGCTGGATCACCGAGCGGTGAGAGCAAAAAAGCATAAACTAACGGACCAAACCGTGATAAATCGTCGAATTGGCCCGTTGTCCGCGGCGATACAATGGACCGTTAACCCGGGGGCGATTTATCGCTTCCCGATAGTCCAATAATAGAACCCATGGGATTTTACGCGAGCATGTGAGTAGTGGTGTAACAGTGCTTAATTTTTAGTGTTTCACGTGAAGTCAGGCTCTCAAAATAAGACCAGTCTAGGGTCCAACTAGATCGTTTGCTTGATAAATTTTGGCTTGAGGACCGACAATGAGAGAGAGAGAGAGAGAGTGAGAGAGAAAGCTAGAGAGATCAAGGGAACGAGAGTGAGAGATAGACAGAACCTGCTTTCAAGCATTAAAGGCACCGGCAAGGGGGTTTTTGGTTTTTGGCAATGGATTTTTGGGATTTGCTATCATAGTGCCGAGATCCATAATGTCGTGAATCCAGAATTTCGAGATTTCGAATTTTTTTTTTGCATCGAATTGGAAGGTTTTTCTGGAATGTCTGCTTAAATAAATTCTGACGTTATGAATTTCGAGTTTTTAAAGCTTTGACATTTTGACCTTTATGAATTTCGAAAATAGGAATTGAATTAGGGATTCGACATTATGATTGTCGCCTATGAATTCCGGCTGCCTTACCCGCAGCTTTAAAGAGATTTTTTTTGTAAAAACAAGCCTTTGCTTTTTGAGCACAAACAGAACTTATAGAGCAGTACGTGTAAAAATCATAAAAAATCGAATCAAATTTGTAGATTTTCTACTTTTTAGTTAAAAGTTGATAAAAACGACCAAAGGACGTCAAATTGCAAATTTTCAGCATTTTTAAGGTGCTTTACAGCGACCTAGTGATCAAAACTGATAGAAAAGCAAAAGCATCATTAATACAGCCTTAACCTACCACGAGATCCTTTTAATCAAGCTTTTTGCATATCCCACGTTATTATTGTTTATCATCCCCTTCACCCTCATAAAGTAACGCAAATAAACGGGCCCGTAAATAGTAGTCCCTCGAAGGGACTACATCTCAAAGCAGAGGGAAAACCCCCTAAACTTTCATAAACCACACGGCGTGGTCGGGCTTGAGAAATCCACCCCAAAAGCAAATATTTCCCGCCCGGGCCGATCAAAGATAACCCAATGGCCCTCAAAATAACGTGGATCCAAATTTGGAATCGGCACCCTAAAAGGGGGGTGGATTTGGGCTTTGCCATCCCTTTGGGGCAATGGCGTAAATGAGGGGTGAGGTGGGTAGAATTGTTTTCCGCTCGAGTAGCCCCTTTTTTTCGTCCGGAGCATCCAGGGGAATTTTGAGGTGGCTAAAATTAGAGGGATTCTAAAGAGATGCCGACTGTTTTTTGGTGAGGTATACGGACGCGCTTCAATGGACGGCAGGTGGAGACAGACTGCCCAGCGCCCTTAAAGGGGCTGGGAAGTCAAAATTCGCGCGTCCGGGATCGAACCTACTAGTCAAAAAACAAACGGGTTACTGCCGAGAAGTATGATAAAAAAAAGATTTCTTTGCGGCAAAACATATAATATTTGAGCAAAACCGAATTCTTGAGGCAAAAACGACTTTTTGAGCGCGCGACAATTCCATGTCGTAATGGCTTGTAAGGCACCCAATCATCCCTGATTCTCGCTGATTCTCTGGTTAATTTTCATAATTAATGCGTCTGGAATGACTAGAATTCAGTGAGGACTTCAGAATCAGATTTTTTTTCAATTCAGGCATTTTCACGTTCAAATAGCCGCAAAATATCCCGCGGCGCGGTTGCGTTGCGGTCGCATCTGGCTATTTGCCAGGAAGCAACGCGGGGGTCCGTGGACCAGATTTCGTCGGAGCCCCTTTAAGTGCCAAAAAATCTATTAAAACACAAATTTTAGTGCTCTCAATTGGCAATTGGGTAAATTAAGGTGCCGGTTCCAGATTTCTGGCAACAATTGGTACATTTGAGTCGTCCTCTTCTTTGCAATTGCCTGAGCCGCATCACCTTGCGCGCTTCGTAGCTGAAGCTTGGGTGTTGGTTCTTTGGCATGTAAATTTCGACATTATGACATTTCGACGTGTTGGAGGACGCGGTTTCAACCTATACCAGTAAAAGCGGTAACAGGTGCCGAATACGATAAAGAACACGCAGCCGATAACGGACCAGAATAGATCCGAGCGTTTCAAAAAACCGGGCAAGAACCATTGTGGCTCACAAAGAATCCTGAAACGAGAGAGACGGCTGTGGGGTCCCTGGTGATGGGGAGAGCCAGCAGCTTTTCCGTAGAGCAAAAAGCACAGATCTGGGGCCGAGGAATGCCCTATGAATGCTTGCAAGCAATAAATACTGCAGAAAATTTGGGCTTGCGAGGCTTTATTTATTTTTCAAATCAAGTGATCGTGCGGCGAGTAGTAAAAAAGCATGGCTCGAGGGTTTATTCCTTGTTGAAGAGGTCGTTGTAGGCGTTCAGGATCGGGTCGTCTTTGGTTCCGAGCTCGTCATGCTGAAAACGGGGGGTTTGGCAAGAGTTTTCGAGAACTCGCCCTCACTCTCTTCCTCCCTCTCTCTCTAGCCCTCCCTCTCGCTCACTCTCTCTCTCTCGCTATCTCTCTCACTCTCTCTCGCTCTGACTCGCTCCCTCTCCTGCATAAAAAATATCCCAAAATGCCCCACCATAAATGGCCATGAATACGACGGATACGACCAGTAGTTGTAAATCTAACAAAAGTTAGGTTAAGTGCGAACCGTCACTTACCTTGCGTTCAATGAGCACCTCGCGGGGTGGCAACGTCTTGTACATCTCGGAGTTGATCCATTCGTTGACGACCACCTCGCAGCGGTGCTTCGTCACGGCACGCTAAAATAAGCGGTGCTTCAGGGTTCGTGGGGAGGGGCTACTTTTTTCCCCAGCGTTTTCTATTAAGTTAGTGGGTGTCTTTTACTTAGATTCTAACGAATAATTCGGAAACCCAGAGGCATACATCCTGCCCAATCCACTGCCCATCCATGGTCCGTTCCCGTTTGCAAATCTTCTCGAGCTGCCCCCGAGCCGCGTCCACAGCGTCGTTGTAAGCCCAGCAGTCGTGGTATGAAAGATGTCTGGAATGGGAGGGTAGCTAGGTAAGCAAGAAAAAGAAGAAGCATGGCTTTACACATTTAAAGGGATGCCCAACCTTTTCGGGGCTCAAAAAGCAAAAACCATACCGCGGGCGGGGGTCGAACCTGGGCCCCCCGTTTTGTAGGCCTAGATGCTATCCATTAGGCCATAGTGGCAAGCCATTGGGTGGGATGGGAAAGCCATAAGAGGGAAACGGGTCCGAATTCTGTGCGGCTTTGGGGCCCCATTGCCGCACAAAATTCGCGGGTCATTTGTACTGCCCGGAATACATAACTATATATTTGCCGGCGAAACATTGGATATCCCTTTAAGGATTTTTTTGGTTTTTCGCGGTTTCGGGGGGGAGGGGTGGCAACTATTTCTAGGGAACGAGTTTTTTAGATATCAATAGTAGAAGTGTTTCTACAAAGTTTTCCTGTATCCATAAACGTAGAAACGATGCAAAATTTTGCTAAAAATATCACGAAAATATCGATTTTTTTTACCAACAATTGGTTGATATTTGGTTCAAATTTCAAATTTTTTCAAATTCCAAGTGAAATTTTAGACAGGGTTTTTAATTTAAATATAGTTATTTTTTAGTAAGAGACTTTTAAGGCAATTGCTTTTAAGTTACCAGGCATTTCTAGACTTATACAAAAAAGTTCGCTCCCCCGATAATGCGAAAGAACCGTTTTTCGTAATTTCTTGGCAACCAAAACCTTTCCCGAAGATAACGAAAAACAAGCCACTACCTGCGAGACGTGTAGCTGCAGGCGCAGAGTATGATGCTGCCCCCTCGAATAGTGACGATAAGGCCCTCGTTGCTCTGCAACATAAGGTGACGTGCGGTCGATCGAGAAGCGGCCTACCCACGGCCCACGACGGATCATGCAGTACCAATCGCCCATCGAGATTTCGTGCACGTCGACTCGTCCCTCGCACAACCTGCTTGGCAGCTTCTCGAATTCTGCAAATGAGGAGCTACGGTTCAGTTTACCTCCTCCCCACCCCAGCTCCCTAGCCACAGCCATAAGCCCTGCAGGGTGTCCCAATAAAAAAACGCCCCCCTAACCCGACGCAGAATTATCGGATTGGAATAATAGTTATTCCAAAGTCCTTGAAACGGCGAATTGGAAACAATCTTCAAAACCATTTTTTGATTTAAACGTGTGATTTTACGAGCCATTTTGTCAAATTTTCCGGTTCTGCGGGGTTGCATACGAGCTGATTTGTTTCAACTTCTCCGATCAAAATGGATTGGATGCAGTGGCCGTCCCTTAGTGTTTTTAAATTCGTTATAGAATGGTGCCTTTGAATAAAAAATGGTGTTGAGGATTGTTGCAAACTGGCCGTTTTAATGGCCTTCGCATGGTGCAACCATCATTCAGAGCCGATACTCCTGCGTCGAGTTAGAGGGGTTTTTTTTATTGGGACATACTCTAGATTAATGCAACAAGTATCTGAAAATGCGTGGTTTTTTGTCAGTTTCACTATGCCGAATTTGAATACGTACTGGCATATTCATTGTAAGCTGCATTTACTGGCGCAAGCAAAATGAACATTAACCGACCCTCATCCAGCTCGTGCCAGGCGACCCCTCGGTCGTAGCCGTTGCTGCCAAAAGTTTTCTGCACTTTCAGCTCGATGTAGTCGATCTCACGTTCCCGATTTTCCCATTGCTGCAAAAAAAGAGTCGCTCACGTGCTAAAAACTTACCGTAATGATGGTTTGCAATGTGGGGAATAGCGTGTGGTTGAACTGCTCGAGCAGGCCGGAGATTGGCTCGTACTTTTTGTGGTGATCGTCAGCACCGCCAGGCACTAAATAGATTTGCAGCGGTTTTCGATATACAAATCAAGGAAAGGCTAAGAAAGATATTTTTTTTCCTCTGAAAACGCTGGGGATCCGCACCTTCCTTCATCACGGCCATGTAGACAACGATGGTGGGCGTCTTCACATCGACGAGGCACTCGGTCTCCAAGATCTCACGGCCGAAGTGGAGCCAAAGCTTTTTCAAGTCCTAAAAACGAAAAATATTTGTGTTAGTAAGAGGTCATACCGGCATCAAAATCAAAACGTCGTTGATCACAGCCCTTAGCTCGCCAGCCTGGCCAGCCGAATTGCAGTGGACGGCCACGCAGTACGGCTTCGTCTCGGCTACAAAACGTAGTCTTGAATCCCAAATTCTGCATACCGATCTGGCGACACAGGACTTGTTTCGGGCCCTCGATCGGCAGCATGGCGGTGTGGGCACGCACGTACGGGATGTTCTTGTACTTCTTCGGGTCGGGCATCGGCCAGCCGGCGCCGAATCCGAACTGGAAAAAACCAAACTCGACGATGCGCACGCGGGGGCACCTGGTCGAAGGTGGCGTTATTCAGGAGAATGTAGAGATCCTGGACGGCCGACGGCTCACGATCCTCATCAGGGGGCACGTAATGGCAGCGTTTATCATCCAACGGCGGATAGTGAAAGTACCGGCCGCGCTTGACGCTAAATTTTGAAGGTTGCACGATTGTTTGAGGGAAGAGGGAACAAGACGGGAAGAAGTTTTTGGTCAAAAAACCTATCTGCTCATGTCTAGGAAACCCCCCCAGCCGACTTTTCAATCTTTCTACCTTCTTTATTTTTATTTTTCGCTACTTTTTTCTTAAATACCCAAATCGGTTCTTTAGGATTCGGGGGGGCCGTATTCCGGGGGGGGACCAATTTTTTTTCCTGACGGTCCCGGTTGACCTAGTAACCAAATATAAAGTGTTTCCACATCGTTTTTAGCAAAATTCAAGCCTGTTTGGTTAGGAAAAACATTTAAAAAGTTAGAAAAATGCTTGAAAAACTCGAAAATTTTGTCATGCCTAAAATTAAATTTTTTTAATTAGATTTTGTAAAACTTGTTGGCTTAGGAGTAGCTAGAAAAAATTTAGGGTTCTGTTCTATTTCGCGGGGGGGAAAAAACTGTGCGGGGGGAAATATGCTTCGCCGAACTTTCCATCTTTCGCTATTTTCTCGGGATTTTTGCAACGCCATTCGATAGAGCATCAAAAAATATACTAAAAGTTTTTGTTTTAGCTAAAAATATTGTAATATAAAAAAGTTATAGCAAAAACAAAAAAAACGATTGAAACTGGTTCCGGAATGTTAGTTTTTGGCATTTTCGCCATTTTTTCGATATTCTGAACCTGTCATTCGATAGAGCCTCAAAAAATATACTAAGAGTTTTAATTTCATCTAAAAATATTGTTTTATAAAATAGTTATAGCAAAAACAAGGTTTATTCGATGTTTCCACATGGGATCGTGGAGTCGAAAGCTAGTTTTCGACATTTTCGATAACTTTCAAAAATTTCTTTCATGCCATTCGATAGAGCGTCAAAAAATATACTAAGAGTTTGAATTACAACTCAAAATAGCATCATGTAAAAGAGTTATAACAAAACTAAGAAAATTTCCCCCCCGCACAGTTTTTCCCCCCCGCGAAATAGAACAGAACCAAATTTAGGAACACTTCCACTATTTATATAAAAAATCTAGGCTTGTGCCTATAAAAATTTGGTTTCTCCCCCCGGGAATACCCCCCCGCGATTCCTAAAGAACCCCGAAATCTCACCCGTATACATCACCATACGTCAACAAGTAGTTCTGCTTGCTCTCCCAAGTGTCCCCGCGGCGCGTCAGTCTGTAGTAACTGAAATGCGAAATTGAAGGCGAGAGTCGTATGGGATACGTTGCATCCTCTGTTGGCAGGTAGTAATGGATGCCCTTCGCCAGCTCCGCGATCGTGCCCCAGCGCTTTGGCGACTTGGTGATCAGCGCCTAGACGTTCAGATTCTGGATTGTAAGCGGCGGGATCAAATTTTTCCTTGCCATTCTCCAAGACCTTAGCCCTATTTAACAAATATAACCCATTTTTACAACATTTTAGATTGTTTTTAGATCTAAAGCCAATATGAAAAATCACGACAATTTCGAAAATTCCTAAGTATTGTGAAAAATGTATGAAAAATCAAACAAGTCCAAGATTTTCGAAGTTATCAAATCTTTCAAAAAATTTTCAACTTTTTAGCGATAAAAAACTACTAAAGACCAGGGTTGGTCACAAAGGATCCGGTCCGCGGACGGTCCGCGGTCCGGTCCGGTCCGGATCGGTCCGAGTGGATCCGAGAATTTCGGACCGGACCGGACCGGACCGGTCCGGACCGGTCCGGTCCGGTCTGAGCACAAAGGGACATGATTCAGGAGCCAGATATGGAAAATTTTATATGCAAAATACTACTCTCGAAGAATTTGACATATTTTTCCACATCGATGCTACTATCCGTCGCGTATATAGCCAAAAATTAATGGGGAAGGAATAATGTTATACATTTTGATTAAGCGAATTCCGCATTGCGTCGTTCTTTGGCACGCTACTCTTTTGCATTCCGAATTTGCATGTTGCATTTCCGTTTCTCCTAGCAAATCAAAGCCCCTCGGTCCGCCACGGACCGGACAGGTCCGGTCCGGTCCGGTCCGGTCCGGTCCGGATGGAAATTTCGGACCGGACCGGACCGGACCGACCCCCGGACCGGACCGGATCCGATTAGGATCCAACGTGACCAACCCTGCTAAAGACACATAAAAAGACGCCGAAATCTCTTTGAGTCTGACCTTGAAGAAGACGTCAGAATAGGCGAGGTTCAGCAGGTCGAGCGGGTTCAGCAGGTTCATCACCAACAGCCACACATCGATCGGCATACGGGTGAACTGTTCGAACGAGATGAGGGTGTCGGCTGGATTCTAAAGTGGCAGATATTCGCTGAGACATATAGATATTCCCCCGAAAATTCCGAGGACGGCGACCGTACCTGGAAGACGCGCGACTTCTTGACGACGGGCGAATCGTTTGTGAGGAAGGCGGCGATGGGGGACGTAGCGATCTGAATTTCAACGGGGTATGGACTTCGCCTCGGCCGTACCGATCTCTTTCGGGCTTCAGGGCCGGCAGCGGTCGACGTCGGCATCGTGGAGATCGAGGGCACAGCATCAACCTGGAATTGCCGGTTGAGAATCTGGTACGGTTTCAGTTTAACGCTATGCCCTGGAGTGATCACCTCGCAGATGACTTCTGGCTGTTTCGTCGCCTCGTCGGCGACGCAGAGGATTCCGGGCCACATCACAACCTGGCAGATGCCCGACCGGTCGGTAGGGCGACGAGTAGAAAAGAAAAGAGCGTCGGTGGTCTGTATTCGAGTGCGCGGCGCCGGGAAAGTTCTTATGCAAATTTTTGATTCTGAACGTAAATATATAATCGAGGCTGCGAAGAGAGCGCAAGAGAGAGAGAGAGTGTGAAAGAGATAGAGAGAGAAAGAGAGAGAGAGAGAGAGAGAGAGCGAGAGAGTGAGTGAGAGAGAGCGAGCAAGAGAGAGAGAGAAAGAGGGCTCTCTCGCTCTGTCGGTATTTGAATTGCAAATTTACCAAAGATTGAACAAAATACAACATTTATTGATCTCAATTGGCAGTTGAGTAAATTAAGGTGCCGGATCCTGATTTCTGGCAGCCATTAGTACATTTGAGTCGTCCCCTTCGTTGCCATTGCCTGAGCCGCATCACCTTGCGCGCTTCGTACCTGAAAATTGGGTGTTGCTTCTTTCGCATGTAAGTTTCGACTGGTGACATTTCGACACTTTAAAAGACGCGGGTTCAAACAGTACCAGTAAAAGCAATAGCACGTGCCGAACACGACGAAGAATATGCAGCCTATAGCGGACCAGAATGGCCAGATTTCGAAAAATTCATGCCATTCAACCATTGTGTCCCTCAGAAAAGTGTCCTGAAATGACCCTGTGTAATTTTACATTAAATGAATGGAACTTGTAGATTAGCGGGGGTGGTTTTAGCGGTGAAGTTTATATATACTTTTTCTTATCCAAAGCTGTCAAATCATACCGAATTTTTAAGGGTTTTTAGTAGTTGTCGCTCGCCGTGATATGCAGACTTACGTTAAAAAAATTTAGAAAATTTAAATTTCGCGTTCTTGGTCAATTTTGGCAAAAAAACTTTTCGAAAGATTTGAAACTTTCCTATGTGCTTTTTAGCGGCCGAAAGCAAAAACACTGTAAAACACTGTAAAAATTGGGTAGATTCTGGCGAAAGCTGGCGAAACGGGTTCCTGGCTTACCCCCTCCACCAAAAGTCAACACTCCAGTGCCAAAAATATATTGGCTAATTTTGAATAATAGTGGCTCAACTAATTCTCATGACATCTATAGAACATGCTTTTGGCAGCATTTAAAACTTTAAAAATAAAAATATGAGGATATACAAACCGAGCCAATTTTGAAGGGGGATACAGTGCTATTGGCGGACGGAGCTTACCGGGGTATGGTCCGATCCAAGATACAGATATCCCTAGCGTTTTGTGCATCAAGGTATATTACGAGAGGTATGTAGTTGTCACCTCGACAGCCTAGGCTTACCATCTGCCATATGCCCTCCGGCAATTGAGAATTGAGTGACAATTCAAAGCTAGGTCATTGCAATCGATTTTAATCTAGATTAGTTTTCTATCTCTATCGCGCGCTCTCGCTCTCACTCACTCTCTCTTTCTCCTCTCTCTCGCTTCTCTCTCTCTCTCGATCTTTCTCTCTCTTTCTCTCTCTCGCTCTCTTTCTTCTCCCTCTCTCTTGCTCTCTCTCTGTCTCTCTCTTTATCTCTCGCTCTCTCGCTCTCTCTTTCTCTCTCATCTCCCTCTCTCTCTCTCTCTCTCTCTCTCTCTCTCTCTCTCTCTCTCCCTCGCTCTCAGGCCTAGATTGTTTTGCGGCTGATTGCATAAACGAACTTCACAAAACACGCTTTCTGGGGCACCATTTATTCAGCGACAACAAATGACAACGAAAGCAGTTTCCGTTTTGAATAGATGCCATTTTTCGCTTGTTTTGCCGCTTTTTGCCCTCGTCGCGTGTACGCTCCCGTCTAGGCCATCTGGTTGAGCGTGTAGAGGAAGATGAGAATGGGCATGACGGCGCTGAAAATTGCAACGTTTCGGAAGACCCAGAATACGGTACCCTGAGCTGAAGACTGCCGAAGAAGCGTTGCCACCTGGAAACGGGGATTTGGTCCAAACAATTATGGGAGGCTCGAGCAAGTAGCAAGTCAGCCGAAGTTATAAAGGGCTCAAAAAATCATAAAAAGTCGAAATTTGTTGTTTTTTTGGTAAAAATTTTGAATAATGGCCTAAAAAGGAACGATTGCCGATTTTGGAGCGTTTTTCACTTTCTCAGGCTTTTAATTGGTTTGAAACTATGGAAATTTCAAAATTTTGGAATTGCAAGACACGAAAAACAATCGAACGGAAAAATTGCAGCTACAGAAAAAAACGTGTTTATGAAAATTCTAGATTATGGAATTGGAAATCCTGAAATACGCGATTTGCAGAATTTCGGATGTAGAAAAAACGGGTGGTAAAAATTCGAGATCCTGAAAACTCGAGGTTTTAAAATCTAATGAAGTTTTTAAAAAGATTTTTAATTGGAATATGAGATTCCGGTAAGAGTGCCGTTTACTACCCCCCCCCCCCAAAATTGTATCTCGGCTTCCCGTCATCGTACAGGTATGTGAAATCCACCAAAATGTTTGCCCTGGTCTTGCGAGTATTTTGATATACTTGCCAATCCCGTAGTATAACGGGGAGCCGAGGCACGGTAGGTGGGGTCGGCGGAGAGGGTAAACTGCCGTTAAGCCCAGGTTTCCGTGAGGCAACTGTCTACCCAGCGGGACGCAGAGGACGTCAGTGTCGGTGATGAGCGGGTCCTTGCCGGTGGCGTAGGCGTATTGTTCGGCGGGGCGGCAATCGGGTGCTGCATTCGGAAGGCCCTGGACGCGGTGGCACGTCAGTTCACCCAGGGAAGGACATCCTGAAAACCCTGGTGTAGGTAAAGGCATCGGGGGCCGAAGTTTTCTCTCTCCCTCTCTCTCGCACTCTCTCGCTCACTCTCTCTCTATCTCTTTCTCTCTCTCTCTTTCTCTCGCTTTCTCTCTCTTTCTCTCTCTCTCCTTATAATTCCACTCACTTCGACGGCAAACCCTCTCCTGCAGCTGGTCGAGGTCGGTGGTGAGCAGCTGCATGAACTCCCAGGCCGGGTGGCAGCCGGCTGGTCGGGCTGTGGTGTTGTCCGCTTCCCCATCCGAAGGTGACAGTCCTGTGCCGGCCCTCTCTGCATTCAGCTTCAGCTTTTCTGGATGAAATAAAAATTAATGAACGGCAAAAATTGCTACCCTCGAGCCACGGCTCCTCGATGAACTTGTGGCAGGGCACGGTGCCGGTCACGCAATCTGGAATAGCGGGAAATTAAAGGGACTAGGGTTGGGTTATCGATCCTGGCTTAGGCTTGGGTCCGCTTATGATTGGGTCTAGGCTTGGGCTAAGGCTTGGGTTACACTTAGGCTTGGGTTAGGCTTCGGCCTGGATTAGGCGTATGCGTGTGCCTAAGCTCACGGACTAGCTTTGTGCAGCGCCACCGCGCCCGTTTAAGCCTTGCGTAGCCATAGACTTCGGCTTGTTAGGCAAAGTATCCAGCGCAGGCTGAGGCTTAGACTTAGGCAGACTTGGTCAGGCTTGGGTTTAGACTTATGCGTAGGTTAGGCTTAGGTTTAGGCTTAGTCTTTAGCTTAGGCTTTGGCTTGGGATAGGCGTAGTCTTAGGCTGAGGCTTAGGCTTACATGTAGGCTTAGTTTAGGCTTGGGTTTAGGCATAGGCTTTGGCGAAGAGCATATGCTTAGATTAAAGCCAGGCTTGGGTGTAGTTTTAGGCTTAGTCTTCGGCTCAGCCTTAGGCATGCTCTGAAGCTTGGGCTTAGGGTTAGGCTTAAGCTAGTCTGAGGCCTAGGCTTCGGTTTAGGCGTAGACGGTCGACTTACAGCGACAGAATTTTTGTTCTTCGATGATGGTGGGCAGCCCCATTTCGATATCCGGGTAGAAGCGGCGCCAAGCGTCTGCGTCCAGTGGATGGTGCCCGAAATGCGTCGGGGATGTTTCGCATTTAGCTGCCCCCTGAGCGTCAGGCTCGCATAGATTGTAATTGGTGGAGGCTCGTTGGCAGTACTCGGTCGGCTCTGAAGCGGCACGTGATCGTCTAAGCAAACAGCCCTTTGTTATCTACCGTATACTTTGACGGTGAGGCTATTGGAGTTTGCGGACCAGCTTTTGAGAACGGTGCGCGATACCCCGTCGATGTCCTCCCGTTGGACGGTAGTTTCCCATCGACACGTGAACGTCGTCGAGTCGCGCTAAAGTGAGAAGGTAAGTAATTTACCAGTCGGTTTTTTTTAGGGTTTCTAATTTAGCGGACGATTTTCTAGGTTCTTTCGCATTATGGGGGGGGGCGGGGGTGAAGAAATGTTGTTCTTCAAAACCAATTTGTTAAATATAAATAGCGGAAATGATCTTTGTAGCTAAAATACACTTTTGTTTTACTGAAGACAATATGAAAATACTTCTACTTTTATTAAGTTATTAGGCATTTCTATATTAATCGAAATCGACCAACCACTCTCAACGCCGCGATATGCAGCTGGTCCTGCTCCTCGGACGGGTTGAATACGAGACGGTCCGTGACGATCGGCGTCCCGTCGGCATGCTAAGCAACGAAAAATTAGGTGAGGTTGGACTTCGGCATTTGGTCGTCTACTTTTTCGATTGCGTCGTCAGATTTTTGGTATTGCCGTATTTCAGCTTAAAGGGATGCCGACGGCATAGGCATTCGGTTACGCGCTGGAAAGAAAATGTCTCTGCGCCTCTCCCCAGCGCGCGCTCTCTGCCCTGTTGGCTACTTGCCAATTTGTTGATGGGGGGGATCGACACATGCCGTCGGCAGCCCTTTAAAGGTACACTAAAGTCTCGTTGGTTTGGTTACCGGCCGGTAACCGTCCGCGGAATAGCAAACAGGGTTACGGTAGGTGCTCGCCGCGGAGCAAAACCGAACCCTCGCCACCCGCCTAGGGCGAGCGCTTTAGACCACTAGGCCATGGGACAGACGGGAGAGGGCAGAGGGAAGGGGGAAAAGAAGAGTCCGGGCCTTGCGCGGCAGAGGGCCCGCATTTCCGACCGCGAACTGACTTTTTGCACGAGATTTTAGTGTACCTTTAAGTGTAGTTTAGCCCCCCCCAACCGGCACCCACCTACCGTATCTGGGCTCCCTGTTCATCTACAGGTGTGTCAAATATACCAAAATACTCGCCAGAGCAAGACGAACATTTTGGTATACAGGGTGTCCCAAAAAAAAAATCGACCCCCCCTCTAGCGGACCGCAGAAAGCTCGGATCGGAATGATTTTCACACCATTCGAAAGCCCTTCAAACGGTGAGAAAACAAGCACCTTTGGTTTTCCAAAAAATTTTAGCCTTCGCTCGATATTCAATGATTTCTGTAAAAAGCGTAAAACCAGCATCGTCCTGTTTGCTTTAGCAAGCAATTAACATGCCAATTTTGCATGAAATCTGCAGTTTTCATCGATTTCGGCCCTAAATTTAATGAATTAAAATCCCCATATTGAAGAACGAAAAGTGCTTGTTTTCTCGCCTATTCGAGTGCTTTCGATAGATACCTAAATCGTCAAAATCGGACATGACTGCAGTCCGCTAGAGGGGGGTCGATTTTTTTTGGGACACCCTGTACTTTCCACACCTGTAGATAAACAGGAAGCCGAGATACGGTAGGTGGGGGTCGGCTGGGGGGTAAACTGCACTTTAACGCGTATTTCCTCTGATAAAACCCCTGGGGTTCTATTTTTTCAATTACCCTAGGGACGGAATTGTATTAGAGGGGGGAGGGTTGTAACAGAGGGTGGGGATCATTTTTTTGATCGACTAAAATCTGGAAAATTGGGGTTAAAATGGTCGGATGTTGACCAAAAACACAAATTTTTCGCCATAGAAAGCTTAAAATCACGCAAAATTGCAGGGTTAAACATAAACTGCACTTTTTTCCGCGTTTTTTGGCTCCTGAATACATATTTTAAAAAATTTCCGAGGGACTCTATTTTTTCTCAATGGTCCCCGCCGGAAGGGATTGTATTAGCGGGGGGTGGGGCGTATAACAGAGGGGTTTAGAGGTTTAGGTATTAGAAGAAACCAGGGTTGAAAAACCGCTTCGCGGCTTTTCAACCCTGGCCCCGTCTAGCCCTTTGAAAGTGCTGAGTTTGCATAATTCTTGCCGAAAACCGATCACCAAAAAATGAAAACCCCGCCCTCCCTCCCTTTTTATAAGCTAGCTCCACTTCCGATGTATGCTAATTTCCTCCTAACAAAGAGGGTGGCAGATATTTTCACAAAAATCTATTTTTAATAGCGAAAATCACAATTTTTCGAAATTTTTATGTGCGTGCAGTCGAATCATGCCCCTTCTTTACCTATTGAGGTTTCTTCTCTACCGAAAAAATGCTTCCCTGAGGCTGTAGGTGCGGAACATACAAACGGAAGTGCATGCAAATATACACACACACACACAAACACTATTTTTTATAATATATAGTAGGATACGGTAAGTTTGTTTTTGTAAATCCAAAATTCCAGATTCCTACCAGGTAATCCGTTCTGACGCCGTCACGGAAAAACACTGGTTTCCGGATCTCGTTGGCTGCGTTTGTGGCTGTAGCTGTGGACGGCAGGCGGCAACTGAAAAATGGTCTCAGGGGTGGAAAGTTGTTTTTCGGCATTTTCAATGTTTTTGCATGCGGTAAAATCGAATAGTTATGGCAAAAACAAGAAAAACGCCGGTACCCAATACCCGGTGCCACCCACCTAATCCAAATTTTCTGTCCGGCAACGAAGGATTCTACGTTCGTTTTTGAGACATGTGGCTCCGCTCCCGCGTACTTTGCAGTGGTGAGTGTCGCTCAACATATCGGTTAAATGCCGCGGTTCGAGATGATTAAAAGGATTTTAAAAGACACGAAAAAAGAGACTCGATTCAAAAACCAAGCCCATCTGATGCAGGTTTTTCGACTGAAACGAATCGCGCTTTAGATTTTTCTAACAAACTTTGAATTTGATTAGAACCCACTTTTTTCGGCGCGTGCTTTTTGGGCTTCGCGGATGCGTTTCTACCTTGTTTTTAACTTTTTGTCCCCCCGCCCCCTCATTGAGCTATCTAACAAAGAGGCTTATCCAAACCCTCACCCCCGCTAACACCTCAATAACCGAACATCTACCATTTTCAGCCGGCCGGCAGCCACCATTATCTTCCGAGGCGGTCGTCGTGGCGGCGGGCAGACATTCGAACTTGCGCTGCTAAAAAATAGGGGTGATTAGAAAGACTGTAAAAGCCTAGCTAAAAGCGACAGCAGGTAATAGACTCCCAGCCCCAAAAAAATACGCCAAAAAACTATGTAAAGGGAATTGGAAACCGCACCGGATCCATGTTCCCTGGCTCGTCCGGCTGGTCGTTGCTGCACCACACGCCGTCCGCCTGGCAGCCGTGGGACATTGCTAAATCGGCCCATTGTTTAAAGCGCACGTTCAAGGAGGGGCCGTGTACTCGGCCCAACGTGTACACCCTATGGACGTAGGGACCGCGCGCACCGCCTGCCCGTGCTGTGACAGGCCATTCCGCTCCTTTGCGGCGTGGGGCGCCCCTCGCCCCCTCACGAAGTTGCACCTGTGGCTGACTGGTATGCGACCGCGTCTCCCGATCGGGAGGCCCGGGTTCGACCCCCGGCCGCGGAAAAACCTTTGTTTTTTCCAAAAAACGTCCCTGAAAGTGCCCTTTAACGCCGCAATTTTTGCTTCCTTTTCGAGATGCTTTCAAATCAGAACCAGAATCAGCTAAAACCTAAGCGATATCGGATACACACCAGGGCCACAACGAGGCTGTCCGCTTTCTGGCCATACACCCATCACGGAGTAGAAAAAGGACGCCTCGCAGGTGGGGAAACTCGTCGACGTCAGCGCACATTTGACGAAGCTGCCGTCTGGGCAAGCTGCAAGCGGGACCGTTTTCGTTGTCTGCTGATCCGCTCATCCGGCATGCGGTTAGGATAGTCCGGGCTCCCGTTTACAAGGAGACATTGGTTCTGTTCTATTTCGCGTGGGGGAAAAAACTGTGCGGGGGGGGAAATTTTCTTCGTTTTTTTATAACTCTTTTATATGATGCTATTTTGAATTGTAATTAAAACTCTTAGTATATTTTTTTACGCTCTATCGAACGGCATTAAAGAAATTTTTGAAAGTTATCGAAAATGTCGAAAACTAGCTTTCGACTCCACGATCCCATGCGGAAACACCGAATAAACCTTGTTTTTGCTATAACTATTTTATAAAACAATATTTTAAGATGAAATTAAAACTCTAAGTATATTTTTTTGATGCTCTATCGAATGACGGGTTCAAAATATCGAAAAACTGGCGAAAATGCCGAAAACTAACATTCCGGAACCAGTTTCAATAGTTTTTTTTTGTTTTTGTTATAACTTTTTTATATTACAATATTTTTAGCTAGAACAAAAACTCTTAGTATATTTTTTGATGCTCTATCGAATGGCGTTGCAAAAATCCCGACAAAATAGCGAAAAGATGGAAGGTTCCGCGAAGCATATTTTCCCCCCCGCACAGTTTTTTCCCCCACGCGAAATAGAACAGAACCGAGACATTTTTTCTCGACATCCTACGACATAGATTATTTTTCATCGAATTTTTCATGGAACCTAAACTATGCGATTTCCAGGTTTTGGTTCTGGACTGTTGGCGGGGGGGGGGGGGGGACCACTTATTGTCTGTCTACCTAGACCTACCTGTTTTAATACATGATGTATTTTTATGGTGTTTTTAGCGGTCTTTGATTGCTAGACAGTTAGCAAAAATAATTCTATAAAATTGTCCTTTTTTGGAGATTTTCCATACGTTTTTACTAAAATCGAGGAAGTTTCAAAAATTTATATTGTTTTTTATGTTGTATTTAGATTGAAA